TTAATATTCTTTTAAAGCTTCAATTTTATGTTTGTCCAATTGATATGTAAGAAGAAGCTCAACTACCATTTAAACCAATCTACAATTTATTACAAAATGAGTTGGCTACTTTAAAAAAGTACATTAATGAAAACTTGGCTAAAAAATTTACTTGCCATTCAAAATCTCTAACAAGAGCTTCTATCTTATTTATGAAGAAAAAAGATGGATTTCTATGAATGTATGTAAACTATCAAGGATCTAATAAGATTACTATTAAGAATAAGTATCTTCTACCTTTGATTTCAAGACTTTTTGATCAATTGAATCAAGAAAATATCTATACAAAAATAGATCTATGATGAGCTTATAATCTAGTATACAATAAAAAAAGAGATAAATAGAAAATTACATTTCAAATCTGATATCGACATTTTGAATATAATGTCATGCTTTTTGAATTCATGAATGTACCAACTACTTTTTAATATCTAATGAAAGATGTCTTTTGTGAATTTCTTGCTAATTTTGTTATTTTTTATTTATACAATACCTTAATCTATTCAAAGAATATAAAAGAGCATGAAGTTCACATTGATTGTGTGTTATAAAAATTTAGAGATGTAAGATTAGATGCTAAATTAATAAAAGTGTGTATTCTATACTACTCAAGTTGTTTTCTTAGAATACATCATTTCTAACAAAGGGCTAATGATGGATCTAAAGAAAGTTTAAAATATCATAGAATAGAAGATTTCAAGAATAATAAGAGATATGCAATATTTTTTGAGATTTATAAATTACTATTGGATCTTCATTAAGAAGTTTTTTCAGGTTACAATTCTACTTGTATATTTTATTTGTAAAAACAAATTTAAGTGGAATAAAGAAATCTAAGCATTGTTTGATGCTTTAAAAAAAGAGTTTACAACTGCACTAAATTTATATTGTGTTAATTTCTCTAAGGTATTTTTTATAGAAATAAATGCATTGGATTTTGTCTTTAGTATAATATTATCACAAATGGGAGTAGATAACTAATTCCATTTAGTAGCTTTCTATTCCAAAAAAAATTCAATAAATGAGATTAATTATGAAATCCACAACAAAGAGCTCTTTGCAATTTTGGATTCATTTAAAAAATAGCTTCATATCTAGAAGGTGCCTTGAATCTAATCATCATATATACTGATCATATGAACCTCAAATACTTCATTTTGATATATGTTTTGAATCATTGGTATGTTTATTGAAGTATGTTATTATCAAGATTTGATTTCAAGATCACTTATTGACTTTGAAAATAATAAGGTTTGTTGAACGCCCTTTTTAAATATTTTTATCTTATACCAAAAAAAAGAAATGCATCTTTTGATTAATAAAAAATAATTTTTTTGAAGTTAGAACATTTTTATCTTCAAGCAATAAAATTAACATTAATTTTTTATTCAACCTCTGTTAAGCAAATTAAATCAAGTATGTCTTTTAATCCTCTTATTCATGATTTTGAAAATACCTCTTCTATGTCTCATAATATTTCTAAGTTCAAGTTTAAGAATAATTTATTTTATTTTTAGAGATAATTATACATTCCAAAAGATGAGATACAATTGCTCGTTCTTCAAGCTTTTCATGACTTTCTAGTACTCAAATTTTTTTGATACAATAAGACTTTGGAGCTTATATCAAGAGATATTTGGTAGCCTCAAATGTGGAAGGCAATCAAAGACTTTATATAATCATGTGATATTTGTTTAAAATTCAAAACTCCTCATCAACAACCTTATGGACTTCTTCAGCCATTGCTTATTCTAAAACAACCATGACTTTTTATTTCTATGGATTTTATCATAAATCTTTCAATCTTAAATTTATATGATTTTATATTAATGACAGTAAATTATTTTATAAAAATAACTCATTTTATATCATGTACAAAATCTATCACATGTGAAGAAATAGCTAAGCTTTTTCTTGACAACATCTATTGCTATTATGGATTGTTCAAAGATATTATATCAAATAAAAGAACTTAATTTTTATTAATATTTTAGAAAAATCCTTTCAAGATTCTAAAAGTAAATATAAAATCTTTCTTTGGCTTTCTATCTTCAAATTGATAAGCAAATAAAATGTGTAAATCAAGTTCTTAAGTAATATTTGAGGTATACCATCAATTATCATGAAGATGATTTGACAACTCTTTTGCCATAGGAGAGTTTGTGTACAATAATTTAATACATTCTTCTACTCAACAAACACCTTTCTTTGCCAATTATGGTTATCATCCATTATTTGATACTTTTATCTTTTTAAAACTTGATAATCCTACAACAGAAGATTTAGCAAATATTTTATTAAAACTACATACAACAATGAAGGTCCGATTAAAAGAAGCTAAAAATAAATAAAATATCAATGTGAATGCCTATTACAAGAAACAATGACAATTCAACGTGGGTGACAAGGTATGGCTACTTCATTGCAATATCAAGAGTATTCATCTTTGTGACAAATTGGACTATCATAGGCTTGGATCTTATTAGTAAAAAAATCAATTATATTGCTTATTGATTACATCTATTGGAGTCTTTAAAGACCCATCTTATATTCCAAAAATCTTCTTGAGTCATATAAGATAATGAATATATTGAAAAGAAGACAAATGCCTCTGCTTCTTATAAAAGTGAATAATAATCAAAAATTTGAGATAAAAGAAGTCTTAGATTCAAGGTGATACTAAAATAGGTTGGAATATCTTATTTATTAATATGGATATGATATTAATGAATGCATATGAAAGCCACTAAAGAATGTTACAAATGTAGGAAAGAAGGTTGATACTTTTTATTGACAACATCTATCAAAATCGAGATGAAGAATTATAAGACCTATGAAAGATGATGACCACTTCTTATAGAACTCCTCTTTAGGAAGGGAGGTAATGTCATGGATATACATACTTACTCTAATATTTATCTATATGATTAAGTAGAAGTAGATAAAAATAGATTTATTTCATAATATTTTTAAAAGAAGCTTCATATACGTTAATTCGACTTTATATGTATTTGTAGTTCATTGATAGGTTAGAAACTTGGTCAAATATTAACCACATGTTGATAGCTTACGGAATAAGCTAAGTATATGGCACACATATAGAAAACTTACCTTGTAAGTTAAAATACAAGTGTAGCAAAGTCAATATGTTTTGAAGTTCTTATAAGACATTATCATGTAGCTTTTAATTAAGAGTATATCTGGAGGCAAGAGTGAAGCCTTCTTCACTCTTGCCAATGTCTTTCTAGTCCTTAGTCTTATTTCAAGTCTTTCTAGTCTTCTTGTCTTTCGCAATAGCTATTCTAATTCAATATATTACCATCTTTGAGTGATTTCTTAGTTTTTTCAAGTGACACAAGAATGTATTGAGATTTTTATTTTTGAGATTCATATCCTTGATATAAAGATTTGAAGTAAAAAAAAATTATAATTAATTATAAATATTTAATAAGATTCAAACTAAAATTTTAAATTAAAATAATTATTATAAATAGTATGATCATCTCTTATATTTTTTAAGTTAAGAAATTTAGAATAAATAGTTAAGAGACGAATGTAAGATAAAGAGTAGGAAAAAAAATTGTTAAATAATAAATTAAAAGGATGGAATTGTGGTTGAATAAAATAGTTTAGAAAATACTTAATACTTTTTATTTTTTATTTTTTCTATAGTGACTCTTTTTCTTTCTTGTTTTTTTCTTTTAATTAGATTAGAATCAATATGCAATCTAACAAAGATGTAATGCAGTTGAAAAGCCTAAAATAAACATAGTACAAGATTTATAAATCTTATATTGCTATTGAGTTATAATTTCTACTTTTTTTGTTGTAAAATTAAGATTTTATATTTTTTAAATATAAAAATTTCTATCAAATTTTAAATTATAATTTTATATAATGAATATTAAATTTTATAAATTTTTCAAGTTCACATAATCTTAAGAGTATTTATATTTCCAAAAACTATTATAAATTTTTTACTAAATTAAATCAATCTTAAAATTTAGGTTTTTTTTTTTTTTTTTTTTTCTATTTAGGCATTTTTGAGCCTATTTGAGACATAAAAAATATATCATATTTGAAATTATTATGATAAGATGTAAAATTAAGATTAATATAATTAATATTCAAATTTATTGTCAATTATTGAAGCACTCATATTCAAATGAGATAATTTCAAACTTAATAAAATTTTAATTATTATTATAATTTTGGTTTTTAAATCTTATTTAATGCTATTAAAAATAAGATATTTTTTTTAAAAAAATGGATTTAGTATTTTTGATAATTAAATTTGTTATTAATATTAGAGTTCTTTTGTTAGAATGTTTAAAACCTCAAAGTCAATTCTTTATTATTTCAAAATATAGCTTCTTTTTAGCATTTAAATTCTATATAATATTCTTATATGAAGTTTTAACAAAAATAGTTAAAGATTTTTAAGTGGATTAATATTTTGGATGCAAAAATGAAATATTAAAGCCTATTTTTTAGAAATCAAGATTATCATATATATAATGTATTCTAGTGCATACTCTCATATAAAAATACAAAACCTATTTCTATTTAATATCATGATACAAATGCAAATGCAAATGCAAAAAAAAGGCTTAGCTGATGTTTGTCATGTACTAACTTTATTTACTATCTCATTCAATATTAAAAACTACTAATTTAAAAAACCATAAAAGATGGCATAAGTTTCTTTAACACTTATATTATTCTAAGTGGTTTATATAAACACAATTGTGATTACTAAAACATCAATAAAATTTCTTTTGAAGAAATTTGATGATATTACGTCAAAGTTCCAAAGATTTGTCATTGACCTCTAATTGTGTACTTATATAATTTGAGTATTTGAAATTAACTTTATTAAAATTTTACAAGGCAGATCTTTTCTTTCTTGCCTCTCATCTATTTTAACAAAATAAGATCAAATTATAGAAGATGTCAACGTATTCTTATCAAAATCTCGATTTTTATATTAAAAATAGTATCACAGCGTTAATCGTCGTTAACAAAAATAGTAACTCATTAATCTCAAACCGAACTTAAAAATCAAGAACACAGTAATATCACACCACTAGGATCTAGCAAATTTCTATCTGTGATACCAGGTTGACTCCATTGATCATTCATCAACTGCAGGTGTTGTAATAACTTTACACTGGGCAGTTTCAACTATTATCCACAGCAGCGATCATGGGGCAAGATGTGTAATTTAAGTTGGATTTTGCCGATACAGATTCTTAAATTTACAGTGGTTGCACCCAAATGATCTGCATTTTGCATAATATGCACTCCTACTGAATACTTTGTTTAACCATCGGTGTAAGCTTCAGGTCTGTCGCAGAGGTTGATGAGCTTCTTGGCTCTACATGTTTTCATGTATCTATCAATCTATCTGCAGATAGATGTTTAAACAGATTGAGTGAGATGGATGTCAGCTTCGAGTCCATTACGGACCACCACTACCACCATTTTTGCAATTGTGGACGTAGAGCTTGTCCATGATAACAACAATTGAGAAGATGAAGGCTATGTCCACGCCCGGCTGCACCAGCACGTGAAATATGCTCTTGGATATCAGGACATTCTTCAAAGACACGTCTCGTACCACCTGATCCATCAAAAACAGCAAATTAATATCCTTAACAAATGTCAGAAATTACAGCTGAATATCTTACTGTACCCTTATATTTTGTTTTTCAAATCAACAGCACAATATCCACAGGGTAGCAATTGCAGTTGGGAAGTGTTTTTGGATGAGTGACGATTTGATATGGAAGCAGTCTGGTTGTCGACGTACCTCGGCTACCTTGTTCTCGCCAAAGAAGATGGTGCACTTCTTGCACATCCAGTTCCCTTTGATAGTGTAATCAGGGTGCTTTTGCTCTCTATTGTGAGGAAGAAATATCTTCAGATTTGGACCTCTACCCCAGGAACATTTCTTCTTTAATGTCCAGAGTCGCCGTTCCTTGGTGCGAGAGTCAAACGCTCTCCAGACGACCGAAAACGACCATATCTGTATGCACAAAGGGTGGTGTAACAGAAACGGTTAGATCCTCGAGCAGATAAATTTTGAAACCTCATCTAACTTCTGAATTATAAAAGGAGCTCAACGCTCAACAGGCGGGGAAAAATTTGTTCATCTGCAGAAGCCAAAAGATCAATGTCATTACCTTCTGCTCCATGAGCACAATTGTATTCCCTTCCAGATCCACTAACTCACGCTTGGCTCGGCCCCATTAGATTTTCTTCCCACGTACGTGAAAAACCTCTTGACCGTTCGCATTCGTAATGGACCAATGTTTGCTGAAAATCGCATTTTCCATCGTAAACCGCTCCGCTCTCTGCAGGCAGTACTGTGTCCCGACCACTGCACCAGGTCTACTTTTCTGCAGCGGCTGAAATAGGTCGTTACCAGTCTCCATAGTTTTGTGGCCCATGGCCCTGTATTCCTCAACTTCTTGATAGAGGAGATAATTTCAAGCTGCAGACTTCGCAAATCTTATCCTACACACAGTGTTCGAAACCCAAGACTGAGTTGATTTTGGAATTTTCTTCCACAATCCAAAATGTCCGAGCAGAAACTTCTAATATAGTGATAAGTACTTGACACACAATTTCGCACTCTTCGCAGACGGCAACCAGTAGGTTTTTCAGAGGAATTCCGACCATCAAAGCAGACCATTAAAGCAGTTGTTAACTATGAAGCCACAATCTGACTGGACGCAACAAGGAAATTACCAATAACCAAAACCAACGGGAACATCACTACAGGCTCAACAGAATTGGAGTACTGGATGAGTACACAAAAAAGCACTTATGCCAGATCCTCAAGCGGACTTCGCAGATTACCCCAAGAATCTGCTATACCGATCCAACATCACAACCTCCCACTGACAGAATCTCACCTTGAGCATGCAGGCTCGACGCCACTTCTGACACAATTCTCCATCTAGATTGCCTATGTAGACCTCACGGCAGACAATTTGCTTGACAAGAAGCTTGCAACCCAAGCGACGACCCAGCGAGGAACAGGTTGAGCAGCTTCCTGCAAGTGGTATTCGTCCAGTCAACAAGGCAGCGCATAAGTCCTCCGCCAGATGTCGGCTGCTGTGCATCATCAGATGAAGCAACGGAGACATTATCTACTCACCAGAGGAGAGCCAAAAGTCGCGGGGTAGAATCTCTCGGTTCAGAACACTCACCGAAGTGAGTGAGTCAGTTTCTTAGGCTCAGGAATCTCGAATCTCGGCTGAACGCGGAGGAGTCGCGGCAATCGGAGCTGTGTCCGTGAACAGGTGGAGCGAGGATGGATCGATCGAACAGAACCCAACGGGACTCAAAATTCGGGAGCTCGAGGTATGCCACAGACGGCTGCGGCGACGCCCCCTGCCGCGCGGGTGCGTCTGTTCGTCATTGACTCATGCCATTCCTTCGCTGAAGCTGTCACGCCTTCCAGAGAGAAGGTTCGAGAGAACTGAAATGGTGGTTCAAGCTTGTTTTTAGGGTTTGTGTTATGGTTGATGGTGTTTGGTGATTTGACAAGATAATACAACGTTCTCCCCAATAAGGTCTATGTACCAAGTAGAAATACTACCTGTCACGCCTTCCAGGGAGAAGGTTCGAGAGAACTGAAATGGTGGTTCAAGCTTGTTTTTAGGGTTTGTGTTATGGTTGATGGTGTTTGGTGATTTGACAAGATAATACAACGTTCTCCCCAATAAGGTCTATGTACCAAGTAGAAATACTACCTTAGACTTGAACCAACCAAAATATGTATCAAGGAGACATGGAACATGAGGATATTAAACAAGCCACCTACAATCTTTTCATACTAGTGAGTTAAAAATAAAAACAAACCAAGCTAGGTCTAGTAGTGTCATCTAGTCTAATTTTTTGCATCTTCTACTTCTAATATGGAACTAATCAAATTTTTGGTATCTTCCATGTGTTTGACATCTTCTCTACTATTCTTTTGTCAACTGTTTTGTAATAGATAAACATTATTTTTGGGAATGATTTATTTTAAATCATTGGAATTGCTAAGGTAATATTGAATTTACTTAATAAATTCTTGATGCTTAAATATTATAAAATTCCTAAAATACCATCAAAATAACACACTTTATTTTATTGGACTAATTAAGGTGTTGAAATCATTTACAAATATAAAAATAAATCTATTTGTAAAATCTTTTGAATTCTATGATATTAAAAGTTTCAATCAAAAGATAATATTTTAAAAATAATATCTAATTTAAAAGCCATTATAAAATAATTTAAGTTATTTTTTTAAATTAAAATTATAAGATAAGTTGAAGTAGAAATAAACTTGTTGCACGAAATTCCAATTATCAAATTCTTTTTTCTTTTTTGTAATAGTATTTATAAATAATATATATATATATATATATATATGTTAAATAATTTTTATTTTAATAATACTAAATATATATTCTATACTTTTTAAAATTTTATTCTTCAAATATCAAATAACTATAAGATGAATATAAATAGTAGCTCTAAGTAAAAATTACCTAGACAAACCATAGATTGATGCATAGAGAAGACTATTTGTGAACCAAGGTTGAAACTATACCATGAAGCACAAAACCAAGCACCCATAGCAAATATGAGGTTATTTTGTGGATCGAAGAGTAGTACTAGAAAGCAAATATGAGGTTTATTTGGAGATCAAAGAGTAGTACTAGAAAGCAAATATGAGGTTTATTTGGGAATCAAAGAGTAGTACTAGAAAGCAAATATGAGGTTTATTTGGAGATCAAAGAGTAGTACTAGAAAGCAAATATAAGGTTTATTTGGAGATGAAAGAGTAGTACTAGAAAGCAAATATGAGGTTTATTTGGAGATCAAAGAGTAGTACTAGAAAGCAAATATGAGGTTTATTTGGGAATCAAAGAGTAGTACTAGAAAGCAAATATGAGGTTTATTTGGAGATCAAAGAGTAGTACTAGAAAGCAAATATAAGGTTTATTTGGAGATGAAAGAGTAGTACTAGAAAGCAAATATGAGGTTTATTTGGAGATCAAAGAGTAGTACTAGAAAGCAAATATGAGGTTTATTTGGGAATCAAAGAGTAGTACTAGAAAGCAAATATGAGGTTTATTTGGAGATCAAAGAGTAGTACTAGAAAGCAAATATAAGGTTTATTTGGAGATGAAAGAGTAGTACTAGAAAGCAAATATGAGGTTTATTTGGAGATCAAAGAGTAGTACTAGAAAGCAAATATGAGGTTTATTTGGAGATCAAAGAGTAGTACTAGAAAGCAAATATGAGGTTTATTTGGAGATCAAAGAGTAGTACTAGAAAGCAAATATGAAGTTATTTTATGGATCAAAGAGTAGTATTAGAAAGCAAACTTGATAGGATTTTATTTAGCATAGGTTTTAAAGGATTTAAGTTAATGATGAGTTCATAAGAGCTTTGCAAAGTTAGGATTTTTTTCAAATGAATATGTTTTTTTGTAGAATATGAAAAGAGCTACATTTTGATAGATTATATAAATTTTGTAGAAAATCTATAATTAAAATTGAATAGATTTTTAAAAAGAATTTGCATTAGATGTTTTTTTTTTTTTTTAAAATTAAGCTTAATCCAATAGCCAAATCAAAAGTAATTGAGATTCAAGTTAGGATATTAGAAATTAATATTTAAATATCAACAAGTATTTCTATAATTTCAAGTAATTTGTTGTAGGAATATATTTTTTTGAATTATTCTTATTATTATTTTTTTTGCTAATATTTGATTTAATTTTTAATATTTTTGTAAATTTTTAGAATAAGTAAATGGTGGAAAAAAGAGCTATTGATGTTAATACGTCATTATAAAGGTTGAAGAAAGAGGATATTTGATACTTAAGTGGACTAAAAGTATTTTCTTCCAATTTTTAAGTTCAACTATTTTCATTTTTAATTTAAGTACTTATCTTCAACTAGTAGATTGAAAAGTATAATTTTTTTGAGTTAAGATCAAATTTTAAATTAAAAATTATTAAGAATTATGATTTTTTATAAAGTTTAATTAGGATTTGATTAGGATTTTTTAGGATATACTTAAGAGTTGATTAGGATTTACTTATAATTTCTTTAAGACTAGCTAAGCTTTTATCATATATATATATATATATATATATATATATATATATATTTTTGATTTTTTTATGATTTCATTAGAATTTCTTTGTTTTTCTTTAGGATTTTATTATAAATTTTTAAAGATTTCTTGAATATTTATTTGTAATTTCTTTATGGTTGATTAGAATTTCTTTAAAATTTATTTTTAGGTTTTTTAGAATTTATTAAAATTTAATAATATTTTTTTAGGATTTTTATAAAATTAATCAAAAACACTTAGTATAATTAAAAGCTAGGTTAGGTTGTTTAAAATTACCAAGAAGGTATTTCTAAACACCTTATGCATTGTTTTTAGGTTGTAAATCCAACTTCAATGTGAGATCAAATTCTTCCATAATAAGATGCCTAGTCCATTTCCAAGTTGATTTTTACATAACATGACAATGCAATTATTTTAAATCAAAACTTACATAAATTAAACCATTTGCAAAGTCAACTTAAAAAAAAATGGCCAAATCCTCAATATCTACAAATTTATATACTTCTAGAAAAAATTAAATAAAATTTGGATTTGGAAATTTTAAAATAAATAAAATTATCTATTTAAAAGACTTTGTATGCCAAAAGTAAAAACTATAAAGTCCAAATCAAAGTGATTATATCTTGTAAACTAAAATTTCATAGAGTGAAAATTGTAAATCATTAGAATTGTAGACTTTAAATAATAGAGATGAGGAATAAGGTAAGTCAAAATTAAAAAATAAAGATATCAATAACTTAAAGACACTTATTTAATCTTAGATTAAAAATCCTAAACCTATATTCTTAAATCTTAAATTTCTAAGTTCTAAATCTTATACAAACAATCTAAAATGTAATTGGATTTTTTCTCATATAATTTTAATTTAGTTATTTTAAAAGATTTATATCTTTTTTATTAAATATTTGCTTAATGTCATGGACACAGAAATACAGACTCGAGATCTAATAAGGAGTTCAAGAAGAACTGGTAAGAACTAGATTAATCAGATGAATACAAGAACAACACTAAAGAGGTGAGCTAGAGCTCCAAGAGATGTGTTGTCGAGACTGAAGAACTCTTCAGCCTCGATTCCAATATATACTCCTATTTAGAAAGCTTCTCAAGCAACTTCTATCAACTAGGAAGCTTCTAGAAGGTTCCAGAGACTTGCTTCTAGAAGATTCTAGAAACTTGTCTCTAGAAGGTTCTAAGGACTATGTTCCTAACATCTTCTACCAACTAAGAAGCTTCTAGAAGGTTCCAAAGACTTGCTTCTAGAAGGTTGTAAGGACTATGTCCCTAACATCATCCCCTCCTTTAGCTTTGAGGTCTCTGAGAAGCAATGTTGTTGTTAATCAGTACCAACGCAAGAAAATGAAGATCTGTCGCATAACGTCTGCTATAAACTCCAACTGTTGTTCACGAGGCAAGTGGTTCATCGATCCTTGAAGCCAACGGTAGTGGCCCACTCCTTCAACTTCTGACCAAGCATAAACTTCAATGTCCTCATTGTGAAATTGTCCTGCAAACACGCCTTCTGGCTGACCATCGTAAGCAGGCTCGGACTCAAATACAATCACCAGTGATCGGTTACTCGGTATCCTTTGTCGTCGTCATGGTGTAGGTGATTCTTCATCTTGGGGTCGCCTTCGTGAGCTAGTTGGTTGAGATAATCTGACTAGCATAGTATCTATCTCTTGGCTATCCATATCAGAAGACCAAACTATGGCTACTGAAAAAATTCTATTTTATCTTGGAAAAAATAACTACATCAACTACGAAT